TAGCTTCTACATATCAAAGATAACATATCACCCTTGACTTTCTGAGACTGGCTTGTTTTGCTTAACATGAAGTGTTCTAACTCCATCCATTTTTCTGCAAGCAACATAATTCCTTTATTCTTTTTGGCTAAAGTCACATGGACCTTTTTTTAAAAAATGAATATCATAGCACCTTACTGCTTATTCACAACTACCCCTAATGCCTCCTCATCCCATTTAGAATAAAGTCCTAATTCTTGCTAACTTTTGCCCTGGCTCAATGGCCTTGTATGATGTGCCTCCTCCTACTCCCTGCCTACCATTCTGATTTCATTGCTTATTTATCTCCTTATTCACCACTTCTAGCCCAGACTGGCTTCTGACCAGTTTCCTGAACCCACTAAGCTCAGCCCTACCTTAGAGTTTTAGTTCTCACTGTTCTTGCTTCTTGGATCTTCTTTTCATTACAAACAGGCTGAATATCCCTTATCTGAAATGTGTGGGACCAAAATGTCTTCCATTTTAAACTTTTCAACTTGTAGAATATATACTTATATATAATGAGATATCTTGCAGATGAGACACAAGTTTCAACACGAAAATCATTTGTTTCCTAGCCACTTTATATGTGTGGCCTGAAGGTAATTTTACGCAATATTTGTAGTGCACCTGCGCTTTGATTGCATCCCACCACATGGGGTCAGGTGTGGAATTTTCCACTGTGCCATCATGTCAGGGCTCAGAAAGTTTCATATTTTGGAGCATTTGGGAGTTTGAATTTTTGAATTAGAAAGAGACAACCTGTATTATCAATATGTGTTGTGACAGAACATATTTATTTGATAGCTCTTCCATTTTCTATCTCTTCTGTATGAATTTACATTCTACAAAAGGAATGTCTGACTTGTTGATCATTGTGTCTCTAGGCTGAGAACAGTGTCTGGCGCATGGTGGGTGTTCACAAAGCACTTGGTTAGTTGAGTCGGAGAATTCAGACACATTGACAGAGTGCTTGCTCCTTTTGGGCAACACTTAATACGAAGTAAGTAGTAAGTGTCCTCTTTAGAACCAGAATTCCCTCTCCAGTTCAACACAGTTCCCATAGCTCTTTATTTCCTCATACTCAGCCTTCTTTACACATTTCTATTTAGTCTTGTGCTGGTCCCTGGAGTAGATTCTACTTAAAGTACCGGAACCTACAATACATTTTCCAATATGTATCAGAGTTTCAGGAGGGAAATCAGAAGTATCCATCTGAAGAATTGAATGTGGACTCATTTCATTCTTGCTGGTTTCCTGTGATATTGCATCAGTACAGTTCTATGTCTTCTGATGGTAATTTAGTACAAATTAATGATAGTATAGTAACCTCTTTAAAAAAAATCTGGGACTAAGCCAGGCATGGTCATGCACACCAGTAATTCCAGCTAATTGGGAAGCTAAGGCAGGAGGATTGCTGCCTTGGTAACTTAGTGATATTTTTTCTCAAGATAAAAACTATAAAGGTCTAGAGATGTGGCTTTGTGGTAGATCATCCCTGGGTCTAATCCTCATTGCCGAACAAAAAATATATATATGTACAAATATATGTACACACACACATACATGTGCATATATGTATACATATGATTATGCATGTGCATTTGTATATATATGCACATGAATAATCTGCTTTATACATATATGTGTATATGTGCATAGATGTATATGTATATATGTGTATATATGTATCAATATGACTAAAACAAGTTCAAACTCGTATCTATAGCGGCCTACTAGAAGTAATTGACATTTTGAGTTCTTGATCCACATGACAAATATGGCTTAATATCATACTGTTTTTTTTTTAAATCATACTAAAAAATGATCCTCACAGATTTCCATAGGTAGCAAATACATTATTTGTAGTAAGTATTCATAAAACTCAATTTAAACAGTATTATGCATGTTTTTGAAGGAAGGCTTGTCTAACCATGCTATGTCTGGAACTTTCCAATTTCTAATTGGAAATCAGTGAGAGGTACTTCATAGCTCAGTGTGAGGATATAATGGCTATACTATAAAATGTTTTGAGACCCTCCTCAAGAAATTACATCAATATAAAACATTGTTTTCTAGGCAAAAGGTAAAGTAAGTCCCCTAAAATACGCTTGTTAGATGATGGGCAATAATTCATTATTAAATATTACTATGCTCTGGAAAGATTTCCTCTGCATATAGGTTTTGAAACACCTCATAATACAAGTTTTCACCAAGAAAGCTTTATATGTGAGTAAATACTGAGGTCTGGTGATGACTTTGGGAAGAACTTAGCCAAATAGTCACATAAGGGAAATGAAAATTAAAATATATTTCTATTAAATGTAGTCAAGTATAGGGCAAATTGCTTTCCCAACTAAATTCTACAGAATGTCTATTATTCATAAATCATTACCAATAATTATCCTCTCTTTTATGATAACTGAGAATGCACCACTCAGACTACAAAAGGTTTATTTCATACATTTGTAAATATATTCACCCACTCAAACTGTGTCCATATTTAAAAACCAAATATTAAAATAAAGGAAAACCCATCAACATTTTTCTCTTCCTGAAAGGATTCCTTAGGGTATTCAGGAAAAGACTGACTTTAGAAGTTGTATCTTAATCAGTAGTCAGTTTTTCCTTGCCATCTTATTTAGTTTGTTCTTTAAAAGGCAAATATCACCTTAGCAAAAACTTCAGTCTACAGACAGTAGAAATATACCAGAAGACTTGAAGGCCACACTGGCAAACCAAGAACCACAGAATTTTATGCAGTGGAGACTAATGAATTCAGTGACCTTAATAATATCTCTTCAGGAGGGAGCTCAGTTAAAAATGCTAAAATACATATTCTATTAATCACCATATCTATGCCTCTTCTTGGTTAACAACAATAAAGAGACATGTAATGTATATAAACAGATGATGAAGTTGAAAGGGTAGTATATATAGAACTGAAAGACCCTCTTTCAAACCCAAGTTCTGTCACTTGCTGATTTTGTGTTATTGGGTTTTTGGCTTTAGTGTTGAATGGATAGTTTACAAAGATGGGAAAAAACGGAGAAGAACATCTCTGGGAGGTAGACTTGTAAGCAGCAGTTTGGTTTTGGCTCTATCAATTTTGGTTTTAGAAGTCATACAAATGAAGACATTGAGTATATAGTTAATTATATTCATATGTAGTTTAAACAAGAGAGACGTTGGAAATATTTGACATTGAAATAGAACACAGATGGAGAGGAAAGTATATTACTGCAGAAAGGAAATGAGAAATTTAAGAAGACTGAAGGTAGTCCACTGTGTTGAAAGATGCTGAGAGGCAAAGGAGTATAAAGCCAGAGAAACTGCCATTTAATCTGGCAACATGGAGGTCTTGCCTGACCATGGAGGGGTAGAGATGGAATCCTGATTAGTATGGGCTGTAAGATGAGAAAAGAGAGACACTGATCATGGTCATTAAAAATTTTGCTGTGAAAGTTCTACTGGGATGTGGGCCCATACATGTGAACATACTTTCAAGATAGAAAACACTTGACCATGTTTCTAGGTTGATGAGAACATTCCAGAGGCAGAAATGACTATTCAGAAAAGAGGGAGATAATTGCAAAAGCAAAGCTATGGCGATGTTAAGAGATAATGGAATCTAAACAAGATGGCTTTTGATAGAAATAGGGCCAACTCTTTCATACTAATAGGAGTGAAGGCTTCCCCATGTGATTCTAGGGGAGACTGGGAGATTGTTGGTAGGATAGATTGCCTACATTTTTGGATGAGGTCAGAGATAAGATGGAATAAAGGCAAAAGTATGGAAAGATTGTCAAAAAAAGATTTGGAAGAGGAAAGAGGGTGAAAGTGATATAATCTGGCATGATTTGTGGGTCCTGCCATGCTGCTTAATCATCTGAGTGTTACAGCATGAAGTTTAAAACAAAACCAGTTAGCACGTCTATGCTTTCAACACAGCAAAACTCACCTGCTAGGGTACAGATATGGAATAGAGAAAGCAGGGAAGAGGGCATTCAGAGAAGGTAGGATCAGAATATGGAAAATTTTATTGTGGATGGATGAAGACTACCTAAGAGGTAGAGATGAAGAAATCTGTCATAAACAAGAGAAAAACGTCTGTCATTTGAAAAAGAGGGTGGAAAAAAGTAGAGATGAATAAGGATGGGAAATACTGAGGAAGAAAACTTGAGGAATTTGTATCAGATAGTTCTAAGCTAAGTGAAATAGGAAATGTATTCATCCACAGATGAAAACCAGGAGGGAAACCACGGTTTCCAAACAACAGCAGCTACTACAGTGAGCTCAGCCCACTAACATGGCAACATATCCCTAATAAGGGGCATATTAAATTGTGTAACTGGACCTAGATAAGGAATAAGTTAAGGTCAGAGGACATGGATCAGATTTATTTGAAGAGAAGAGGTAGAGGGAAGAGTGAGAAAGACGGGAAAGTAGGATGAGCTGCTTAACCAGGCAAGCTGAGTGGAGATGGGGGAAGGAGGAAAAAAGCCAGTGTGGAAGACAGGCACCTGGTCCCCCACTGAGTCGAGCATGATATTGCAGCCTAGCATGTCTCCTGCAGGATGGTTCCTTCACTCCTTCTAGTTCCTTTGCCTTCAGTTTTACATTGAGTTTTGTAGTGATTAATAAATAATGCATGGCAGCAGTGATAAAGAAAGGCACTACTTCACAAAGAAGAGCTCTCAAGCCCAAGAGTCCCAAGTCAGAAACCTTGAGGGCTTAGTTCTTGCTCACCCACATGGCAGATCATTACACCAACCATTTTCTTCTGACTCTGAGCCCCTCTTTCTTTATCCGTAAAATGGAGGGAGATGGACTTCTTAGCCCTCACCCTGATCCTACCCCAGGGGGAAATTGTCAGGAGATTCTGCTTTGGCAAGATATGCAGTATTGTTCTTCTGTTTACTGCATTTATTTAGTACCAGTCAAACATACTTATTTCCTGAGCAGCAGTTGTGGCCACTTACTGTAACACTGATGTCCATCAGCTCCCAGCTCAAAGCCAGGGTCGCAGGCACAAGTGAAAGACCCCACTGAGTTCACACAGCGATGACCACAGTGAGCAAGCCCTTCGGTGCACTCATTTATATCTGTAGAGAGAGAGACAATAGCCATGTCTTAGCAGCTCTAATTAAGACTTCTTTGTAAACTATAAAAATAAACTACCCTTCCCCCTCCATTTATCCCCTAGCATACAATGAAGGGTCAAATACCATATGGGCTCCATATTAGTATGAAGAGGGCATTTATAAAAACCAACTTTCTCTTACTTCTACCTTTGGTCTTATGCTCATAAACACTTCTAGCTAGTAGAACCTACAATTATCTATTATTTTTTTTTAAAAAAAAGAAAAGAAAAAAAAATAGGTCCCTCAATAATACAGGTAGAAGTTAGTTATTAAAATTTGCCTTTAGGAATATATATCACACTGTTAATCAAAAACAGCACTGCTCTGGTTTAAATTAGACAATATGTGTGGCTGCTGGCAAGGCAGGTTTGGGGCTTTTATATGTGGCAATCCATGGTTTATGTTGTGCAAGGGAATGTTACAGGCAGGCCATGTGAACTCTGGAACCTTCGCTCTTGGTGTTGACCATTAATTCTATTCAGTGTGACTTCAGTTTTGAGGCGCAGGTAATTTCTGCTCCTTCCTCTTAAAGTGTCAGGTCTCATAATGATTTTTTTTTTACTAGTATTTCCTCTTTCCACTGTCCTACATGTTTCAAACCAGGGCACAGAGAGGAATACTCATTCTTTTAATATGTTCATAAAAATCTAAATAGGCAGTAGTTTCAAGGATATATTTTATGGTTATAATGTATCAGATCTTAAAAGGTTGAAAAAGATGGTAGAGATGTATGTATGTATGTATGTATGTATGTGTATATATATGAATCTGTCTGCCTGCCTATTCATATTCATCAATTTTCAACTATTTAATAAGACCCTATTCTGTTCCAGGTGCAGATCTGTGGAAAGAGAAGTCTAAAGCAAAATGTTTTCCTTAGAATAGTAGGCTAACCGAATAAAAACATTTTATCTAGTTTTGGCTTAAAGGAATAAAGCAAACTTAACACTAATTTCTATGTCTAATTATTTTTTCAATTTCACAAAATGTTTATCAGTTCTGTAAGTCAGGAAACATTTTTGTATTTTCATAATTAATCTAAATAAGCTGTTTCTCATTACACGAAAATGTCATGATAAAAATGAAGGATTCTGCGATTTCTCAGAAGTTATTAAAACAAAGACTGTCCCACAGGAATGATTTCCTTTATCAGTCCTGGTCATGGAATAATTTATCACTTTCATCTTTGAATTGAAGTATGACTGTTTTGCTATTTCTGAGAAACAGAAATGTGTAACCTTGTATTTACAGAGTTTCTTTCTTTTTTATTTTAATTATTCCTACCTTCTGAGAACATTCATTTGCACACACTTGCTTTTCAAAGGTTATCCCCACCTTCTGCAGTCTATAATAAAAATCTCCCTGTGTGGTTATGAAAGGTTTTGAAATATTAATTCTAGAAGTCATTTCAGAATAAAAAAAAACCCAGAAAACAAAAAGCATTAATTCTGAAGCTACACAAGGTCTTTTTTCTTAATTGTAACTAAGAATTTCACTTAGTTTTATAGCATTATAAAAATACCTTTCAGAGTGATCAAATAAGAATTTAAATGTTCCCTTTTACGCAGAAATGAAAACACCTTTGCTCCTAGCTGTTCTGCCTATTCAAAACTGAGCTACCACAAAATTTCAAACAATTACACAATTAAGCCATCAGCTTCCGCTTCCTACCTGCACAGGCCTTTTTGTCTTCAGACAGCTGGTACCCTGGGTGGCAGGCACACCTGGCCACGCCATTCTCACTCTGACACATGTGAGCACATCCATTCCCACCTATGCAGGGGTCCATCTCTGAAAGCAATTAAGCAGTGAGAGTTTACAATTCATTCAGTTTAGAAAGATGAGCAGAGTAGAAGGGCAGACAAAGAAGAACCAAGCAGCCATAGAGCCCCTGGATTTCCCATGGAAAGATGGAAAGGACTCCGCAAAGACATTTCCCCATTTCCCATGGAACTTGTTCAACAAAAGCATTCCCATTTTGTGATCTGAACCTCAAACTCAGACTAATCTAAATGTAGATTAAGGCCAAAGAAGAATTAATTCATCGTCACCCTTCCACAAAGTATGCCTCCTGCTCTCTGGTATCTGAATTGAAGAACCAGCAGAGACTCCTTCAGATACCTCTTGACCTTCCCTCTGGCTCTTTCCACCTTTTCTGTTTCTATGAGTAAGCAGGCTCATCCTTAAGTAAAGCCTATTTCTTCTACTAGGTCTGCTGCCTTTGAACAAGTAGTCATGGGGTCAGGAGACTGCGGTCTGGAGAGATGGAGGGAGAGTCCTAGCTCTAGAAGGCGTCCAGGTAGCCCTGAAGAAGCTGAAATGCCTCCACTGGAATTAAATCAGCTGGCCTCCTTCTCTGCTTCACTTGCTCCTATTTTAATCATTCTTAGTCATATTATCTGGAAATTCAAAGCAATGGGAAGCCACAGGACCTATCAGGAGTCTGCACAGAGCTTATTTGTCAGTTTTTGTTTAGTGACTCTGGCCTGAATCTATGAATATAGCCTTGCCTTGTCTTACAGGCTGCTGGAATGGGACCTCAGAATGTCCACTCCTGCCCCTGCCTGCTCCATGTGAAGCCAAGGCTTTATGAAAATATAAATAACACATACAGAACAATATACATTGTACTGCTTCTTAATTTTTGGATATAGAGGTATTGAGGTGAAATGTCGATGAATTTGGGGAGTATTACCATTTGAACAATATCTTCTGAAGTATGAGCATGTTTTTCCTTTTATTTAGACCTTCAACATTATTATTTATTTATTTATTTCAACATTTCATAGTTTTCAGTATGTACATTTGCACTTCTTTGTTAAATTTGTTCCTATGTGTCTTATTATTTTTGATGCTGTTGTAAACGGAATTGTTTTGCAATTTCATGTCTGGATTGTTCATTGATAGTATATTGAAATTCAATTTATTTTAATGTGTCAATCTGGTATTCTGCAGCTCTATTGAATTCCTTTATCAGTGTTAATGGGATTTTAAATGTACTTATAAGGGTTGTCTTTTTAAGAATTTTTTTTTGTTTTTTATTTTACTATTTAATTGCACAAATATACTGGGTACAGTGTGATTAGAACTTTCTCTAGAGAATATGATATGCTATGTGGAAAAAAATATTTTGCTTTTCTTCCTTCCCAAACTGGATGCTATTTATTTTGTTCTTACCTTATTGCTTTAGCTGAAACCTTCAGTATGATGCTGAATAGACATACCATCTGAATGAGCTGACACCTTGGCTTATTCCTTATCTTAGAAGGAAAGCTTTTTTGCTATTTCACAATTACAAAATTATTATGAATGATTATATCTATGTTTTTTAAAATAAACTCCCTTCACTGGAATGAGGAATTTTCATTCTATTACAAATTTGTTAGGTAATTTTATTGTGAAACAATATTAAAAATTTTAAATTCTTTTTTTCACCCATTATTGATATGATCACGAGGTTTTTGTCCTTTACTTGTATGGTTTATTACAATAATTAATTTTTAGATATTTTATTAATCTCTTTTCCTGAAATAATTCTCACTTTGGTATACTGCATAACACTTCTATATGTTGTTGGATTTGATTTCTTTGTATTTTGTTGAGGATTTACATATCTATACTCATAGGGGATATCAGTCTACAATTTCTTTCTTGCAATATCCTTGGTTTTGTTATCAAGGTGATATCATGGTATGAATGTGAAGTGTTTCCTCCTTTTCTATATTTTGGAAACATTTGTGAATAATTTGACTTTGAAGAGGAAATACTGGGAACCTGACCCCTTCCTCTCACTTTTGCTTCCCAGCCACCATGAGTGACTTCCTCAGCCAAATGCTCCTGCCATAATATGCTGCCTTGCCACAGGCCCAAAGCAATAGGACCCATAAGACTGGAACCTGAGAAACTATGAGCCAAAGCAAGCATTTCTTCTTTTTTTTTTAAGTTGATTTATCACAGATACTTATTACAGCAATTGAAAGCTAATACATACCCATGTTCCTACACATACACAGCCCAGAGTGGGACAAGTTTTCTAAATTGGTGAATCTGCATGAACACATCATAGTTTAGCATTTACCTTTGGTAATACACACCCTGTGGGTGGAACAAATGTATAAAGCATATATCTACCATTATAATATCATACAGAGAATTTTCACTGCTACAAAAATTCTTTTTCTTCTGCTTATTCATCCCTTTCCTCACAGCAATTCCGGGCAACCACTGATCTTTTTATTATTGCCACAATTTTGCCTTTTGAAGAATGTAATGTAGCTTGAATCACATACTATGTAGCTTTTTCGTAGTGGCTTTTTTCTTTGTATTAATTATTATTATCAACATACATTAATTGTACAAATTAGTGGGATTCATTGTGACATTTACATCCATGCATGTACATCATGCTTTGATCATGTCAATCCACCCTTTTTCTATTCTCATTCCTTATACTCTACAGGCGTTCTTCCCATTTCACAGTAATCCCTCTCTTTCTTTTAGGTAATTTTTGTTTTCAGTTTCCATTTTCATGAAACAGCATGTCTTTTGTGATACTTGTCTTTCTGTGTCTGATTTATTTTCTTGATATGTCCTCCAGTTCCATCCATTTTGCTGCAAATAAGAGGATTTCATTCTTCTTTATGGCTGAACAATACACCATTTTGTATATATCTGAGTTTTATATCTGTTGGTAGGCACCTAATTGTTCTAGCTAAAATTACTTAGCTATTGTGAATTGAGCCCAGTAAATATGGGCATGTCTCTTTTATAGGCTGACTTCCTTTCCTTCAAGTATATACCCAGGTATATGATAGCTGCATTATATGGTAGATTTATTTGCAGTCTTTAAAGACTCTACATGTGACTTCCATAGTATTGTACTAATTTAAATTCTCACCAACAGTGTACAAGCATTTTTTTTCTTTGTTTTTTTTTTTTTTTTGTAAACTTCACATCCTTGCTGAAATTAAAAAAAAATTAATTGGAGTGTGCTGGTACCTTGCTATAGTTTTTATTTGCATTTCCTTGATTGCTTATGATATTGAACCTTTTTCACATATTTATTGGCCATTCATCTTACTTCTTTTGAGAAGTATCTAGTCAGATCATTTAGCCATTTTAATACTTTTGTTTGTTTGTTTCAGGACTAAGAATTGAACTCAGGGCCTCTCTCACATGTGAGGCGACCATTATACCACTGAAGTATATCTCTGATTTTTGCTTTTGTTTTCTCTACTTCTGAAATCCTCTCGAAAAAAATTATTATTTGTGCCAACATTTTGAAGTGTTTCCTTTATGTTTTTCTTAATTAGTTTAAGGTCTTATATTAAGGTTCTTGATCCATTTTTAATTGCAATTTTTACAGGGTGAGATATAGAAGGTCAGGTTTTGATCTTCTGTATGTGGATATCCAGCACCATTTGTTGAAGAGATTGTCTTTTGTCCTGTGGAAAGTTTTTGGCAGCTTTGTTGAGAATCAGTTGGATGTAGTTGTGTGGATTTATTCTGTGGTTCTCTATTCTGTTCCTTCAGTCTATGTGTTCATTTTTATGCCAATACCATGCTGGTTTTATTACTATGGCTCTGTAGTATGTCTTGAAATCAGGTATTGTGATGCCTCTCGCTTTGCTCTTTTTGCTTAAGATTGCTTTGACTCTTTGGAGTCTTTTGTGCTTCCATATGAATTTTAGGATTTTTTTCTAGTTCTGTGAAGAATGTCATTGGTGTTTTCATGGGGATTGCACTGAATCTGCAGATTGCTTTTTGTAATATAGCCAATTTAACAATATTAATTTTCTCAATATATAAACACAGGAGGTTTTTCCACCTTTTAATGTCTTTCAATTTCTTTCTTCAGTATTTTGTAATATTTACTGTAGTTTTCACTTTCTCAGTTAAGTTTATTCCTGTGTATTTTATTTTATTTTTGTGGTTATTGTGAATGGAATTCCTTTTACTATTTCTTTCTCAGAAAATTATTAGCATATAAAAAAGCTGTTCATTTTGCATATTGATTTTCTGTTCTGCTACTTTACTGAATTCACTTATTAGTTCTAAGAGGCTGTTGGTGAAATCTTTGTGTGTGTGTGTGTGTGTGTGTGTGTGTGTGTAGAATCATATCATTTACAAACAGGGATACTTTTGACTTCTTTCTTTGCTATTTGGATGCCTTTTATTTTGTTTTTCTTGCCTAGTTGTTCTACCTAAAATTTTCTAGCATTATTTTGAATAGGAGTCATGAATAGTTTAGAAAATATTGGTGTTAGTTCTTCTTTAAATGTTTGAGAAATTCAGCAGTGACACCATCTGATCCTGGGCTTTTTTTTTAATTGGGATACTTTTTTGTTACTAATTCAGTTTCATTGCTTTCATTTGTCTATTCAGGTTTTGTTTAAATCCTCTTAATTTAATTATGCTAGGTCACATGTCTCCAGAAATTTGTCAAGTTCTTCCAGATTTTCCAATTTGTTACATAAAATTTTTTCAAAATAATTCCCAAATATCGTTTGAATTTCTGTGATATTAGTAGTTATGTCTCCTTTTTCTTTAATTTTATCTATTTGAGTCCTCTCTTTCTCCTTTCTCTCTCTCGCTCTCTCTCGCCTCTCTAAAGATTCGTCAGTTTTGCTTCTCTTTCCAAAGAGCCAACTCTTTATTTCATTGTTCTTTTGTATCACTTTTAGACCCTATTTATTTCTGCTCTGATCTTTATAATTTATTTCCATTTAGTAATTTTATTTTTTTCCCTTTTACAAATTTATTCTTGATTTTCTAAGACCTTGAGATGCTAG